TCCTCTGCCTTATCTCATTACTAACCCTTTTCTTATTTTCCGAATCTAAAAAGACATCAATTTCTTTATCTTCTAATAATGATGAGGATATGGCTCTGGATTCTGTGCAAAGTTTATCTGACTTATTTGATAAAGCAATCAAATCGGGTCAAAAACAAATTTTAAATTGGTATTATTATTCTCTTGAATTCGAAAATAAGGTTAAAAGTCTTATAGCGGATGGTAAGATTAAGGAAAAAACAGCGAGATCAAAAATATATAAAGAAATGAAACCTTTTCTACCTAATATTACAGATGCAAACTTGCATAAGAAGACTGAAAGAGCTCGAAAAATTCTTAGACTATTTGGAAAAGGAGGAGTAGGTACTGACAAGATCAAACTCGTTACATATAGTGCAAGTACTATTTCGGGATTAAAAAATACTCAAATTCAAAATATTATAAATCAGGTGACTTCAAAAACTGTGACAAAATGTCATGATCAGATTAATGTAGAGGTAAGTATATTGCCTGAAAAGGTTTCACCAGAAACATCCTTACTTCGTGAGACCGTCCCCTCTATCCCATCATCTCATACCTCTAATTCAGAAAATAAAATAAGTGAGAAAAATAAATCTTTACCGGAAACCGAGGCAAGTATATCTAATGAAACTCATATTTCCGATTCATCCAGTTTGAAGCTATCCCAAAAAAAAAATCCCGAAATCAAGGTAGGTGCATCATCCAATCCAACTCATGACCATGCTTATTTTCATAATAAGATATTGTGGAGATATTCCGATCTATATAAAGAATTTAGTAGTGAAAAATTTGATTATTATGGAATTCATGAGGGGTCATTATGCCCAGTATGCAAACAAATTCATGAGGAAGGAAAAAGTATAAAAGGTAGATACAAAACTGGGGAATCGGAGATGAGTCAAAGACTCGAAGCCCAGCTTCCTTGATGCTCTGCATCATCCTATTTTATTATATGTGGAAAGCATGAAATCGAGATAACAGCATAAATCATCCAGGTATAAATTCTCCGGTTTCAAATGTTTGTAAATTAGTTAAATATATTTATTTTTTAATTGCTAATTCCTTTTTTCTCTCATGTTCGAAGAAAGATATAGTTAACCGGTTGAAGATAATAATATATTGTTAATATTAACTGCAATAATCTGGCTTCGAGTGATGAAGTCACAAGAAGGCAGGACACTGAATTCTATTCATTACTCCGTAATGATGAGGTGGATATTTTGTATCCAGCTCTGCTTTTAAGAATAAGATGCAACTAATACCTAATTTGAATTAATTTGCGATCATATAAAGCAAAAAATGGACAAAGCCTTAACCTCTGAATATTTGGATTGGTATGCTAAATTAACTGGTTTGCCAAGCATTTTGTCAGATAAGATTCGTTTTAAATTATATGAAAATTATAAGGAAGAAACTGGGCTTGATCCCTGGATAAACTTCGAAACTTCTGGTTCCTCGCAAATCGAAAAAGATAATATTATCAAAATTTCCAAGTTTCCAGAAGAGAAAAGTGTAATCCTTGAAGCAGCACAGAAACAATTCCCTTTCTTGTCTTACATTAATTCAAATGCATGGCATTGGGATGTATTTAAATATACTAATTCAGAAGCTAAATGCCTGATATGTAATGAGGTACATACACATCGAGGTATATGGGGCGATTGGAGCTGTCTAGGTAAAAATGACCACTATTTTCTTAATTGCCCTTTTCGTATTGATCAAAAGAAAGTTATAATCGCCATACAGAGTTTGCTGGAAACTCAAATAAAGGTACCAAACAAAACCAGTAACTCACCAATTCATCCAAACAAAACCCGCCTTTATCAATATGCCATCGAACATGGAATAGATCCTAAGAATTTTTCGATCATTACAGAAGCTGAAAGAAATAGGTGGGCCATGGGGTGTTTTTGTGGGGATATGGAAAGAGATATATGCTTTTATCGCAATGGAATAGAAAGTAAAGAAGACCCTAGAAAATATCATGAATTTTTAACAGATCGGGAGAGGCAAGTCGGTGAAGATTTATCACGTCGTGGTATACTAAAGAGTGGTTTAAGTACTTCATGGCTAGACAATCTGATGAAAGAATGGGAAGAAATCCATACTCAATTTGTACAAATTTTTAGCCAGACATATGTATAACTTATATTTCCGAACTAGATGTGGAAGAATTACCAGAATCGCAGTCCAAAGTATCTGAATTGGAAGTATCCGAATCAAAAGTTGCAGATATATTTGATCTGTGGTATAGTGAATCTTTCGATTTCCCAGGAAGCGATTTGTAAAAATTATGGATATTTCTTTTATTAATATTATTAACAGATACTATTACCCTACCCCCTTTCTTCCCACTGAGATTTTTAATACGCAATGTAGTTCTTACAAAAGCATTTTTTGCATCTGTTACTATTTCTGGTAAATAATGTTGGATTTTATCATTAATTCTGCTTCTGCCATAGAACCAATTATTACCAAGCAGGATATAATTGGGCGTTTTATGGTCATATTTCTCTACAAGTACTTCAGTTAGGATTGTGATGGATTCATAATTACTAATGTGATGATTGTTTATTATATTAGAAGTAAATGTAAGTGGGATTATGGCCAATCCAAGTGGAGCTGTTGTTTCTTCTCTGATGAATTTACTATCTTTTTCTTTGGGAGTTAACTTTCTGCTAATTTTACCACTGATTTTCTTGAGAAGTTTATCAGTACACATAGAGATTCCCAAAAACCCTGGTTCAAGACGACAATTAACTTTTTGCTCCCCTACTTTAGCTTTAACTATTTTTACTTTCATGGTAAGTTATATTATGTGATATATATATTCAACCGAAAAAAATAACTCGGTAAATAATTACCCATTCTCTGCTACTACATATAATTATTTGTAAACCATGAATGATTAGGATTAATCCCGCCAATCTCTCTGATAGTGATGTTAGCCGTTTAAAAATCCTTAGCTGGCTAAGCCGTTTGCTACCTAAATTGTTAATTTTATTTCCATAACAAGAAGGTAACGCGGAAATCTATTACCAAATTTAGAAATTAAGTATGCAGATTATTAGCCGGCTAACATCACTACTCTCTGATACAATCATCAAATGCAGAAATAAGATCTGTTTCATCTGATGTATGACTCAAAGAGTAGTCTCTAAAGGACCTGGTCCTCAACTGGTCTGAATCATCTAATAATGAAGATATTACTATACATACGGCAAAAGCAAAGAAGCTTGATTAGTTATCATCATCATAGAGATGGAATGGTCTTGCTTGCTCTGGAGTCTGTCCTTTTTTCCGATAATTTACTACAACATAATTCTGTACTGGAGAAGTATGGTTGTCAGGATTGTGTCGTAGACATTCTCCGGCAATGGTATAAGCATGAGCTATATTCTTGGCCTCATGTACTATGACACCATAAACAGCACCCATTTTTATAAGTATTTGGGAATTAAATCATAATCTTTTAAGAATCTATTGAACCATTTAACTCCTGGCTTACCTGGATTACCCATTTGACCAGAAGATATAGCATTCTGTATCCAGGTTAGTAATTCTTTGGCTCGTTCTTGATTCTTTTCCATAGATCTAAATTTTCTAGGAATATCTGGCTGACCCCTGTTCTTTGCATAACCCGTCACTCCAGCATCTGTAATACTATAGATGCCGCCCAAATCCTAAATTATTTGGGATTATGGCATCCCAAATGTACAAATTAAATTTGGAAAGCCTATTGAAGAATTCCCAAATCCCAAATTAATTTGTACATTCCAAATCAATTTGTACATCCCAAATCAATTTGTACATCCCAAATCAATTTGTACATTCCAAATTAATTGTACATCACAAATTACTTTGTATATTCCAAATTAATTTATACATCCCAAATTAATTTGTACATTCCAAATTACTTTGTATGAAATCAAAATGATATTGTCACCAATTATTGTTTGGGAGAGTGTGTTAATTGATGATAACAATATAAAATTTAAGATTATGTGGATCAGAATGAATTGGCTACTAATGAATTAGTTTTATTAGCAAATAATTTTGGTTTAGTGATTTAAGAAAAATGTTTTATTTAGTCAAAACTAATTTATTAACTTATTTCTAAGTTAATTTTATTATAAAACTTTAAGACAAAGTTATTTTACAAGCAAGTCGAATTTGAGCAATCTAACATTCTAGCTGCGATATCATGACATAACATTCTAACTGTGATGCTAATTTCTAAATAAAGCCAACTAATTTTAACATTATACAAATAAAAATAAAAATGTAATACAAATAAAATAATAAAAATGTAAGTAAATATGAATAAAAATAAAATAAGAAATAAA